ATAAGGCTTGAATATTAGCCTTTCAAGAGTTGACAGGGAAATGAAATCGCATTAGACTTCTAACCCCTGCAACTCTAGTACGGGACATCCGTCCTGTACGAACAGACGCACAAATGTGTGATTACTAACTACTAACATCAAATTAATGTAATAATTCGAAGGAGGAGTATCGGTGTTCGTCTGTTCTAAATAGGACTTCGACCCGTGAGCAGCCCCCTGGGGAATTATGTCGGAAAATCCGACACCATTTAATAATATACAGACAGATAATAAGTGCTGCTGTATTACCAACAAGTTACCCATAGAAAACGTAACTTGTAGTGGAATTACCGTCTAAAGAAAACGGGATATCATCACCACATACTATTATAATTCACCACCTATTATGGTGGGAATTATTCTTAAATACATTAGTCTTTGGACTTTACCATCATAAAAACATCTTATATAAATTAACTTAATTATCAATATTAAAGTAGAGTAAATGTGACCCTTCTATCACTTTCTGAAATCTGGACAAAGTAGGCCAGGCGTCAGTGGGGAAGGAGGGCAGCCATTGTTGTGTCACCTCCGAGACGTGTGGAGCGAGTTCGGCTCCTATCATTCTGGACAATGTCGGCCAGTGACGTCAATAGAATGGAGTGTTAGATGCAGTCATTTATATTGAGACCAGAGGCTCACACGGGAGCAAATTCGGCTCCTGTTAATTTACTTGGACGTAGTGTTATGGAAACCAAAGGTACCATCTCCAACACGATGTCAACAATCAAGTTAAGTGTCTATCCGAAACCCGTTTATCATTCATTTATGGCCATTAATGTCAGGATATAGGGTTAGCCGGTTAGAACGCGAAATCGCCTCATACTAAAGGTAATTAAGCCAGGTCTTTAATGTTCTGTATAGTGTTTTCTCTGATATAGCTTGTCATATATAGGATTCTGGCTTCACAGCTAGCGCACTTTTGACAGGTCAAGACGAGGATGCAAGATTATGTGCACCAGTTACTGGGTGATAGAAGCTACCTCAAAGAGGATAATTTGGTGTCTACACTCTAGTTATACCTGGTGGACTAACCTGCTGTACTATAAGAGAAGGAACCTCATCAATGTATGTAGCTATTACTGTAGTTTGATTGGCTGCATATATATTAATTTAATAACCCCCCTAATGTGTAGAGGATCGATTTGTGAGATTAAGAGATTATTGCAGAAATACAGTCCACTCATTATTATACAAATTGCTATCGAAGTATATAAATTAACGTAAATATAAATTCTATATATATTCATATAAATTAAATAAATATAAATCTCACAGGTCGGTTCCCACACACTCCACAGCTGCTAGCAGTCCGTGCATCGAGGTGTTACATTTGCCTGGAGGATGATGGAGCAGGAGTACGACGTCTCGCTGAACGAGGGCGCTGGAGTGCCTCGTCCAGTGAGGTCAGGCTGGGACAAAGGGTTGACAACACTGTTAGCGACGTGATCACTCACACAAATTTATCAAGACAACATAATATTTTAGCCTATGACGAGAAATACCGCACGGAAGATTACAGGTACTGACACATATTTATAATTTTTTAACAGCAGTTAAGGCATGTCGTCGTCTAATACTTCTTGTGAAACACTAAACTATCCCGAGTCAGCACTTCGCTAGCTACGTACAGCAGCACCTGCGTTTTCTTCTCTGATGTCTGACTGTTTCCTCACCGATATGTACAATGTACTTACTACTAGAGAACGACTAGTTGAAGTACCTGCATCCATTATAAAAACAATTTTAGTTTACGTCAAGAAACTGTTCACAGCACGAATAGTTTGCCATTATTACAATATTCAGACAAGTGAACTCTCTATAACTAAATGCTCACTTTTTTTATTTTCCAACAGTTATGTTTAAGCTCATCATGAAGATTTTCCATACTTTCGTCACCCTCACTTCAGTACGTCCATACACAACACTATACTGAACTGACGAGCGGAAGTAAAGAATTCAGGGACAAATCTGTCGTCGGACCAAGTCCATTCCATCCAGCGGTCGACCCTAAAGACGCATTCATCAATTTTAACATGCTGTTCATACAAAACGAATTTTATCATATAAAAATTTATATTATTTAATATTAGCATATTGTACATATTTAGGCAATGGTTTCGTTAGGTTAGGTGTTTAGGTTCTGTTCGGGATTATTTGTATTTGCAGGACATGGGTGAAGCATTTACAACCCGTCCTCGACTCAAGTCCATTACCTCCAGCGGTCTACCAAACAGACACATTCATACATTTCAACATGCTGCTCATTCAAAACATGAATTTTCTCATATATAAATTAATATTATAATATATGAGGATATTGTGCATATATAGGCATAGGTTAGGTTAGGTGTTTAGGTTCTGTTGGTGGTTATTTGTATTTGTAGTACGTGGGTGAAGCATTTACAGCGTTGTTGTTCGAACAAAATTCGTCAGTGAAGCACTTGTTCCGGAAGTGTTCGAACGAAATCAGTTGAGTCGTGTGTAAACCGCTTTTCATTCATAAACAGGGGGTTTGGCCAGCCCGTCCTCCAAACAAAGACCCAAAAATGATTCCATGCACCCGCCAAACCCCCCTGTTTATGAATGAAAATGGTTTACACACGACTCTCAACTTATTTCGTTCGAACACTTCTGGAACAAGTGCTTCACTGACGAATTGTGTTCGAACCACAACACTGTAAAGGCTTCACCCACGTACTACAAATACAAATAATCGCCAACAGAACCTAAACACCTAACCTAACCTATGCCTATGCCTATATATGCACAATATCCTAATATATTATAATATTAATTTATATTTGAGAAAATTCCTATTCAGAGTGAACAGCATGTTAAAATTTATTAATGCGTGTGTGGGGGTCGACCGCTGGATGTAATGAACTTGAGTCGAGGACGGTTTGCAGCGAGAAAACACAAATACTGACTAGTAGATTTAAAAAAGTTAGTATATGATTTATGCTCTGTGATTTTTTGTTTTGCTGCTAAGCTGTGAAAATATTGTCCAAATGTATTTAGACATCTTTAAATACTTCACGCCACTCTGTAAATAAAAGTAACCGCTAACAGAACCTAAATAACTAACCTAACTGAACCGACGCCTAACTGTACACAGAAATGTAATATATATATACAATAGTATATTAAAATTAATGAAGGCGTCTTGGGGTAAGAGGGTGCACCTGCTTGCCGCTCCGCTAACAAGCCTGGCTGAAGGACTGGTTGGGTCAGTGAGTGTTGGGCTGGGGCATGCTGTGCTGTGCTGTGGTGAGCTTTAGTGAGTATGACGGAAATACGCAACGTTTATCTGAAATATTTCATCGCTTCTGATTGATAATAGAAACACCTGTTTGGTGAATGTGATTTACTGGCACTTTAATTAGAATTATTATTGTCTACCACAGACGTGGCCACACATTTACAATGCTAGCCACCATATGTACATTTTCGTCTGCCCTCCACGAACAAAGTTAGAGATCTGTTAAACATTTACTTAAGTGATTTATTGAGCAATCAACCACAAAAAGCGAGTGTAGTTCTTTTAAAAATGCTAATCTAACCTACATACCTAAATACACAGATTTACGTTTGTCCCACATAAACAGTGTTTGTTGTGTCTTTTAACGTAGTGTCATTAATGTGCGTTTACAAAGATGACTGGATGTTGTAGGGTTAATGTCTGATTGTGTACATTACAATTATGATGTTTTAAAGAAGCATGTACCTTCATTATTAGATCCTTGTCTGGTAAATGTACTGAAAGTGTACTGAAGTTTACAATGTGCGAGAAACAAGCACATAAAACCCCGCTACTGTGTCCTTTGCGAAGTGTTGACTCGGGATCGTTTAATGTTTTACAGGAAATATTACACGACGACACGCCTTAACTGCTCTTGAAAAATTATACATTCGTTTCGTCTCGGTACCTGTTCGTTCAGTGTTTCTCGTCTTGTGCTGAAATATTACGTCGTCTTGTGTATGTAGCTGTGTCGCTAGCAGTGTTGTCAACCACATGTCTCAGCCTCGCTGGACCAGGCACTCCTGCGAACCTCCATATCCCCCCTCGTCCTCCAGGCACAAGTAACACCTCGATGCACAGGCGTCACATTGACCCGAGCTGGTTATATATTTGGATTAAATAATAAATAGGCTTATGGTATATGAGGATTTTTATATATAAAAACTTGTCAACAAAGATATAAATAATTCGTTTGCATGCCATATCAGGTAATTGTTGAAGATCATCGTAGGACAGACATCCACCAATCTTAAAGGTCCGTAGCAATTTCTGTTTTTCCATTGTTACCTTAATATGGGAACTCGGTCCACCCTCATGAGCGTTCACAACATCATTAAACTGATGTACTAAATGCCCGAACCTAACTTAACCGAAGACTCACGATTCGAAAACGGAACCTCACGTCAACTGCAAACCACTGTGGTTTTTAGTGAATCAGTTTTTGGTCTAGGAAGATTTATAGGTTGAAATACGATGTACTGTTAGAGAGGACGAGTTGGATAATTAATCAAAACTAAGAAAAGTCGGACAACAATGTCACTTCATAAACGAAGGCAGGTGCTGTGACGTCAAGGATGACAGTCTGGGTGACAATGTCACCCAGACGTCGCCATAGTTATAAACCCATGGAACCGCCAACCCGCCAAATTCGTAAGTATCAAAGGCTGCTGAATTTCCAAATACAGTGGGACAGAATCATCAGAACAAATGAGTGTCCTTCGAAAAGCCGCCGACTTCTTGTCCTCTTTGAGGCCACTAAAGAGATAGTGGCCCTCAGGTAAATCGGATATATCGGGTATGTTTCTTATACTCAATATATATTAGCTAATATAATTCTCTTATGTTTCCCCGTACATACTGAATGTATGTACTTCAGGTATATACTCAGTTGAAGAATGTATTTTACTGCTTATAATAATGAATGACTCTTGTATGGCAGGTTCGTGGTGGTGGCGGTGATCTCGGCCTTCGGTCTCCTCTACCGCCTGGCAACCTTCCTCCCAGGCTTCAGGCACCTCCTCCTGCGGGGCCGCTCGCGCCTGGCCTCCGCCGAGAAGGTGGAGGCCATCTCCACCAAGTGCCACATAGGAGACTGGTTCATTTTGTACCTCGTGGGTAAGTTGACACTCCCTGAGGTCGTTACTCTGGTCATATGTGCTGGATGTTACCTGAAGCACCAACACTTGTTATTTGAAAATACAAGTCATAATTATTCCTATTGTGCTCGTATTCATGTGTGGCACTTTTATGTTTGTGTTTATGTGGGAGTCGAGTTTCAGCTCTTGGAGACTGCCTCTTATAAATCAACCGTCATGCCACCGACTCATTACCGAGGTTATCGGTAATGAGTTCTAAAGGCAGTTCTTATGTTAGCCTATCTAGCACATGCCGCTGATGATATCTTTATGATGTGGGCTTCTAGGGACAGGTTCGGTGTGATATCAACCCCCAGATCTTTCTCACTATTTTACTCTTGCAGGATTTCACCTCCCAGATTGTATATTGTGTTCAGCCTTCTGCTGCCTTCGCCTAATTTCAGATTCCAGATTCCTTTATACTTTACAGATTCCTGAGTTGAACTTTAGTAGCCATTTTCTAGACCATTCCTCCAGTTTGTCCAGATCGTTCTGTGGTCTCTGTTTTGATTCTTCTCATTATTTTTGCATAATCAGCAAACATTGAGAATAATGAGTCTATACCTTCTGGAAGATCGTTTACATATAATAAAAACAGGATGGGTCCAGATAGAGACCTGTGGGACTCCGCTGGTGACATCTCGCTACTCTGATGTCTCCTCCCCTCTCAGTTGTTCGCTGTTTCCTGTTGCTTAGATACTCTCACTGAAGCACCTTACCTTTCACTCCTGCCTGGTGCTCCAACTTCTGTAACAGTATTTTGTGAGATACTGTGTCAAAGGCTTTCTGAGATTCCAAGAAAATGCAGTCTGCCCACCCGTTTCTTTTTTGCCTAATTTTTGTTGCTTGGTCATAGAATTCTATTAAACCTGTGAGGCACGATTTACCATCTCTGAACCCATGTTGGTGGTGCGTTACAAAACTATTTCCCTCCAGATGCTCTACGAGCTTTTTCCGCACGATCTTCTCCACAACCTTGTATGGTATACAAGTTAAGAGAAACTGGCCTGTAGTTCAGTGCCTCTTGCCTGTCACCCATTTTGTATATTAGGACTACATTGGCTGCCTTCCAGCTTTCCGGTAGGTCTCCTGTTTCCAGTGGCCTGTTATACACCATAGAGTGGGGCACACTTAGTGCTTCTGCACCTGCCTTTAGTATCCACGGTGAGATTCTGTCAGGCCCAAAAGCGTTTGTCACGTTCAGCTCCAACAGACTCTTTTTGACCTCGTCACCAGTGAGGTCAAATTCCTCCAAGGTTGCTTGAACATCTTTCTTCACGGTCAATCCCTGCAGGTATTATGTCTGCAGTCATGTCTTGCCTCGTGTCTCTCCCCTCTTTTCTAGCGACGTAATGTCTAGCTTTTCCATTCTTTCTTCATAACCCAACCATCGCAGTTTTGGAATGAATCTTTTCTAGATTCTTGTGTGCTTTTTGAGATGGGGGGCTCCACGATGGCGCTGCATTCTCCACGACTGATCTCACGTAAGTGGTATACACTGATCTCAATGCCTCCTTATTTAGGTTCCTGAACGATGTTATAATTTTTGGCAATGCTGAAACACTTACTGGTATTGAAATCCACAAGCCTCGTACCAAATTTGCAGCTCATTTATATAATTTTGGAATATCTTGCAATTTTCATTAGTCTCGACTCTTCTCTTTAATTTTGCATCACTGAAAACATAAAAACATATAGAACTCAACCCGAATCCTTGAGGTACTCCGCTTGTTACTGTAAACAGTCCTACATCTCACCCCTCACTATGATACTCGTACCCATGTCCGTGCTCTCCCACTTACTCCCGCCGGCCTCTCCAGTTTGTGTTCTAGTCTCTGGTGTAGAACTGTTGGAAAAGCTTGTCGAGAAATAAGCAACCTGTTCAACCTCCTCTGTATTTCCTGACCTTTCCTGAAAGTGGGTTCGTTTGGCATGATTTTTCTTCCTTGAAGCTTTCTTGCTGCTTGTTTAAAATCGCAACCCACTTAAGTTATTTAAATATTAATATCAATATTCTTTTGAGTACCCTGTAGGGAATGATTGCCTGTGATACTGGGCTGAAGTTAAGTTCTCCCTCTATATTCCTTTCTTGTATATTGGTAACGTAATCTTCCAGCAGTTGGGCAAAACTTCCTTTGAACTTGAATCATTAATAAAGAACAGCAGTAGAGGTGTGCCGAGGGCCTTTGTGTGTGACATCCAAGGTGATGTGTTGTCTGTGCTAACAATTTGTTTCATCAAGTCATGCCGGTTGTCTCATTACTTCCTCTGTTGTTACCTCAATATTTGTTAGTCTCTCCTCTAGGGTTCCCAACTCTCCTGCCACTTGGAGTTCGTCCGGTTTAGTTGTCAACACTCAGACGAACCTAGCTTTCAGCTACTTGTAAATCTTCCTTGTAATTCCCTGTATTTTCTCCTCTTACGTGATCTACTTATTTGGATATGCGCTATAATTTTCCTTCATACATAACTATGTAGTATCTTTAGTTGTTTCTTTGCTTTGGATGCAATGAAATTTCCATAGTTTTTCCGATACTCTTTTTATGTTTGTGTTCGTTCTTAGCTCTTACAGCTACTTCGGTTCTCTTTGTCTTCTATTAACTGTGTTTTCTACACTATCTCCAGCGAGTCGTTTTATCTTCTTGGTGTTGCCTCTTCGCTAAGGCTTTATTTTCCTGCTTACTGTTTTTACTTTTACTTTCCTCGAACTATTTTTTTACTATTGTTATGTATATTTCACTCTTTATTGTGCATCTCATACTCATCCTGTGAGCGGTAGTTTATTGTGCACCCCATACTCATCCTGTGAGCGGTAGTTTGTGCATCTCATACTCATCCTGTGAGCGGTAATTTATTGTGCATCTCATACTCATCCTGTGAGCGGTAGTTTATTGTGCACCCCATACTCATCCTGTGAGCGGTAGTTTATTGTGCACCCTATACTCATCCTGTAAGCGGTAGTTTATAGTGCACCCCATACTCATCCTGTGAGCGGTAGTTTATTGTGCACCCTATACTCATCCTGTGAGCGGTAGTTTATTGTGCACCCTATACTCATCCTGTAAGCGGTAGTTTATTGTGCACCCCATACTCATCCTGTGAGCGGTAGTTTATTGTGCACCCCATACTCATCCTGTGAGCGGTAGTTTATTGTGCACCCCATACTCATCCTGTGAGCGGTAGTTTATTGTGCACCCCATACTCATCCTGTGAGCGGTAGTTTATTGTGCACCCCATACCCATCCTGTGAGCAGCAGCGCAAAGACAGGATCACAGAGTGCACAAAAGGTCTTAATCAGACCTCGGCGGAGATTTTTATAATAAAAAAATTATCTAACGTGCACACACTATAATTATAATATGTGCTAGTTCAAAAAGTTTTTTCATTACAATGTACATAATTTATTGTAAATAAATTGATGGAGATCATAGGCTAATATGTAAACTTTACATATTTAATATTACAGGAGCACAGAAGAGCTGTTGTCTATTATTCTTAATGTTTACACTACACCTCGTGTTCCTTAGTCTCATATATGCCATATTTCTACTGGACGCAAAATAAAGATAGTGCAAGGATTTCAGATATTTTATAATTGGTAATACGGTGATTTGTCATTTCATGCCGCATGAGGTAAGATTTACCTCAAAATGGCTAAGTTTTTTCAGTCTAAGATGTAATGCTCTAGTGTGTGTGTATCACTTTGTCCACACACACTCATTACATTTTACGTTATCTAGATCCATATACAAGCCGAATTGGCAGAGATAGTTGTAGCAGAGTCGTATTCGAGCTGTGACAATGTTAGTCTACTGATTTTGTTACTTGCGACATACAGATGATTTGTTTGACTCGTCTCATTGTGATAAACAAGGGATCTGCTAGTTTCTGTATGCACTATTCTACTGCAAATTCATACAATAGATCTCGTCTAAGAATACTTTTAATGGATCTGTTTGATACTCGATAAGATTACATTCAACATTGTCTTCATTTACTGCAAGATTATCAAGGACATCAGAGTTAGCATGTTCCTGCAGTTCAGTGTGTGTGTGTGTGTGTGTGTGTGTGTGTGTGTGTGTGTGTGTGTGTGTGTGTGTGTGTGTGTGTGTGTGTGTGTGTACTCACCTAGTTGTACTCACCTAGTTGTGTTTGCGGGGGTTGAGCTCTGGCTCTTTGGTCCCGCCTCTCAACCGTCAATCAACAGGTGTACAGATTCCTGAGCCTATCGGGCTCTGTCATATCTACACTTGAAACTGTGTATGGAGTCAACCTCCACCACATCACTTCCTAATGCATTCCATTTGTCAACCACTCTGACACTAAAAAAGTTCTTTCTAATATCTCTGTGGCTCATTTGGGCACTCAGTTTCCACCTGTGTCCCCTTGTGCGTGTTCCCCTTGTGTTAAATAGACTGTCTTTATCTACCCTATCAATCCCCTTCAGAATCTGTGAATGTGGTGATCATGTCCCCCCTAACTCTTCTGTCTTCCAGCGAAGTGAGGTTTAATTCCCGTAGTCTCTCCTCGTAGCTCATACCTCTCAGCTCGGGTACTAGTCTGGTGGCAAACCTTTGAACCTTTTCCAGTTTAGTCTTATCCTTGACTAGATATGGACTCCATGCTGGGGCTGCATACTCCAGGATTGGCCTGACATATGTGGTATACAAAGTTCTGAATGATTCTTTACACAAGTTTCTGAATGCCGTTCGTATGTTGGCCAGCCTGGCATATGCCGCTGATGTTATCCGCTTGATATGTGCTGCAGGAGACAGGTCTGGCGTGATATCAACCCCCAAGTCTTTTTCCTTCTCTGACTCCTGAAGAATTTCCTCTCCCAGATGATACCTTGTATCTGGCCTCCTGCTCCCTACACCTATCTTCATTACATTACATTTGGTTGGGTTAAACTCTAACAACCATTTGTTCGACCATTCCTTCAGCTTGTCTAGGTCTTCTTGAAGCCTCAAACAGTCCTC